AAAGGAGATGAGAAAGGATCATAAATATGGAAAAGGAAGTAGAGACTAATATGGATATCATGTTTTCCCAATCCTCAGTTCCCTTCCTGGTGCCAAAGTGGGCAAAAATACCTTCTTCCACACCTGTAAATAACTAGAACAGTCAGATGCAATTTCATTGCTGTCTAGTTGAGCTATATCAATTAGCACAGCGAACAGAACCAGTGTTCAGGGTGGCCAAGTGGTCCAACATCATTTGAGGTATGCAGAGTGATCAGAACCCCACATAAACTGCCACCAGCATCTGGAGTCAATTTCATGTGTGATCACTTGGTTTTTTCCCCTTGTAGAATGTAGATATTATAGGGAATGGGGACAGAGATTAGGTTCCACTTCAGGCTGGAGGAGCCTGGTGGCATGGGAGTGGGGGGAGGGTGGAATAGAGGAGTAAAGAGTAGAGAGTGCAGAGAGACTCTAGATTCCATCCAGCCTCAGAGATGGTTTTGGAGTTTAGTTTCCCAAGGGCATTGTTGGTGTCAATGGGAAGGAAGACAATATCATGGCTCTACTACATCCAGATCCATCCACCATCCCTAGAGTGTGTGTCATCATTGACTGGAACCAATCCCAGCCTGTTCAATACGCTAGTAGCATACTGTATACAACAAGCTAGGATATAATACATGCTCACTTGGATCTTCTGTGCAGCCTGAGCAAAGACGTAAAGGACGCCAGAGCAAGTTTTGACAGTGAAGGTCATGAGAGTTCTGGCTCTTCAAATTCAGAAGTGGATCCTAAAAAATTTGGTTTTGGTTCTTTTTCAGTCCTAGAAGAATGGAAGCACCGGTAGTAGCAGAAGCTCAGCAAGAAGATGAGACTATTCTCAATGCATGTCTGAGATGTACCCAAGGAGCAACTCACAGACTCTTGACTGTTCCGGGAAGGATCTAGGAAGATGCCTTTATCAGACTTTAGGAAATTGTCTGGTCAATTTTTTCTTCAGGGACTCCAAATAATCCTTATGCATCACCTAACGTGGTGGTTCAAAAGAAGAATGGAAAAATACAAGTGTGTATAGATTACTGGACTGTGAAAGAGAGGACTAAAATGGTTCAAGATACCTTGCACTGTTTGTTAGGGCTGCCAGTGGTTCTCAATGTTGAATTTACATAGTGGAGGCCACCAGATACATATGGTAGAGGAAGACAAAGAGAAGACTGCCTCGATTTGCACAGTTAGGCATTATAATTTTGAGCATTTGTTCCAAGGCATCTCAGAGGCACCTACCACCTTCCAATGACTGGTAGAGAAAGTAGTCACGGTCTTCATTTACCTGAACTCAGTTTCTTCATCCATAAAATTAAGAGATTGGACTAGATAGCCTCTTAATTTCCTACCAGTTCTAGGTCTGTGATCCAAAGAGCTTCCACTGTTGGTGTGCCTAGACAATATTATTGTCTTGGGAAAGATGCTGGAAGATGAGGAGAGATTGATAAAGGTGTTAGGTCGTCTAGAGCAGGGGTTCTTAACTTTGTGTGTATGCCATGGACTACTTTGGCAGTCTACTGAAGTCTATGGCCCCTTTCTCAGAATAAAGTTTTAAATGCATAAAATAAAATATGTAGAATTGTAAATTATATTGAATTATATTATATTGACTTTATTATATTAAAATATGACTATCATAACATCATTAATTTAAATATGAAACACTTACCTAATAATGCAAAATGAAGAATAATAATGACACTCTAGAGAAGATAAAAACAGAAACAATCATAACATTTACTCAGTAGAAAGCAAAAGCAGGAATAATCAACATATAACAGTCCATCCATGAACTTGGGTCACACTCTTCCAACCAATGCACACAATATGCATGGGGGAGAGTAGTCACATATGTACAGAAACCTAGAGAGGTGTATGAGTATGGAAACCCCTGTGTAAGACTCTGGAAAGCAGATGTTGATATCCCGGTTCTCTGTATAGAACAGTCTGGAACATGGATTACCTGCTGGGGAAAACCATTTCTCTGTTACTTGATTCCCTTCTAGTCCCCATAACTTCCTGTTAGACAAAGCCACTTCTTAGTTACTCTTGGTCTGCCGAAATAGTGACAAAATCTTTTAGCAGAGAGTCATTCTTGGAAGGTTGCTGAGGAAGTGTTACTCTCTCCCTTTGACAATCGGTTTCCTTAAGTCAGAAAACTGCCAAACTCCTCAGATTTGCTCTGGGGCTCTGAGGCTCTGAGGATATTTTCCCTCTTAAGTCTCAGTAGTGATAAGGCAAGGCAGCTTTTCTCACTTCTCTAAGTATAAGGGGATTCTGCTTTGTCCAGTCATTTCTCAGAAAAGTCAGGCACCTTCCCACAACAAAGCAGATGCAAAACCTTTTCTCTCTCTCCCTCTCCAACCAAAAAGGGCAGTAAAGAGCAATAAATGCCCCACCAAGAGGTTTCCCCCATGTCAGGCTGTAGAGGGAGCCAGAGAGCTCCCTCTACAGTTAGCTATCTTCCAACAAGTCAATCAACGCTCAGCAAAACAATCCCATCTCTCCAATCACCAGGGCTTCCAGTAAAACAGCTGCAAAGCCTTCCTGTATTTAGGCAGCTTTTGCCATCACCTCCTGTGCCTTCTGCCTCCTGTGCTCAGCCTTCTCCTCTTATTCTCCCTTCCTAATTTTCTTCTGCTGACTTCTCTGAATACTAGTATCTCGAATCAGTGCCTCTTTATAAGCAGTGCCCCATCTCCAATTTATGATCTGAATCTCAGCAATTCATCTTTTGTGTCAGGCATGAATCTCTAAAATCCTTATATATTCTTCTCATAGTTTCCACTTAAAAACTTTAAAATGCTAAGAATAGTCCCAGGTGCAAGAGCTGACCGGTAACATCCTCTGGCCACTATTACCTCAGTCATTGCTTTGCCTTGAAACAGACCCTTTCCTTTACATTCACCTCAGGAGCAGTTCTCAATCTGGTCCCAGAACAGTCATTTTATCTTAGAGACTGTGTTTCTTCTCAAGTCGATTTTTATCAGTTTTCCTTACACAAATGTTCTTTTTCTGCCCCTTCTAGCAATCAAAATGTTCATATACAAAAGGGACAGTGTCTTTCATATGGAAACATTGGCAAACAAAACCATTCGAAAATGGGTAAGATAATTTGGTGGGATGGAATTTAAGGAGAGAACTATTTTATGGATATAAAATTCCTATCCAACTTTTAAGACCTAACTCAAATCCTGTTTCCTGTATGAAACCCTGGTTTACCATCCAGGTGCAAAGGATTATCCCATGCTTCTTAATTCATGTTGTCTATACCATTTACTTGACCAGAAAGAAACGAGTGTTAGATTGGTAATCAGGAGATAAGGGTTTAACTCCTGGTTCCAACATATATTAGTTGTTAGACTATATACATATATATGTGTACATGTATACACATATTTAATCTGTAGTTTGATTCTTGGCACAGTTGGGCCATGTTGTTGAATAGGCTGACCCAGAACTACAAGGTGAATGAACTTGGTTGCTGTGAGGCAAAAGCATATGTTCTGGGGAGGAATTGTGACCCTCCCCTTGGATGTTATCACATTGGAGCAAAGCACTGGCTCATGCTTGTTACAGCTGTTAGGTGTGTGACTGTAGGCAAGTCACTTCACCTTGAAGAGCCTCAGTTTCCTTATCTGTAAAATGGGGATAATAATGTGTACTATTTACCTTAGGGTGTTGTTTTGAGGAAAGTTCTTTGTAAACCTCAAAAGGCTATAAAATGTTATTTTTATTTACCATATTATAATTCCTTTTCCTCTCTGCTGGTCGCTATGACTACTTAACAGACCTCTCTATGTTGACACTATGTTGTCCTTTTGACATTCTGTATCTTCTAAGCGTAATCCCTTCATGCAGACACTCCCCAAAACACTGTCTCTTCTACTTCCGGGCTTTTCTCATGTTGCCAGCTTCAACCTTAATGGTTCAAAGGCATGATGAGTAATTTTACAGTGAAAAACCCTTTAATAATTTAACTTGTTTTTAAAAACATTTTGATAACTATATTTCTGTATTATTGGTTTCCTTTGTAATACTATGTATTTTATTTTATTCTTTTAAAAATTATTCTGAGAAAAGGTCTGTAGGCTTCACCAGACCCCTAAAGGGACCCATGGTACAAAAAAGGGTTAAGAACCTCAGATTTAATTCACTCTCCTACTCTTTTTTTTTCTAGCAGATTAGGAAACTGACCCAGAGAATGGAAGTAACTTCCTGGGGTCAAAATCTGGCTCCAGACTACTTTTCCAGTGTAAATATACAGTGATTTCCCACGACAGACTCCACGTATTACTCCTCTTACCTCAATGCATTGCAAACTTCCTGACCTTCAGGTACCTAGAATGCTCTTCCTCTCTCTCTCTTTCTATTTAGGACGTACTCATTATTGAAGGCCTGTTGCAAAAGTCACCTCCTCCTTTCCTCCTTGCCTGACTCCATTCTCATTTGTTCTTATATCCTTTGTCCTTTGTCATTTTCCAATTTGAATTAAATTTACCTGTGATATCTTCTCCCTCCATTAGACTGGGACAAGGGACTCAGTCTCATTTATATTTATTTGTATCTCTTCCAGCACTTAATACAGTAGACATAATCCTGCCTAATACACATCTGTTGAAATGTATTTCTACTTACTGTCTTGGTTTCTGGGCATTTTTCCAATTTAGGGGATTCTGATCAATAAATATAGATTGATAAATGAAGATTACAATGTACAGTTTATAAGGTTGTAGGAAAATGTATATATAAGTGCTATATATTATAAACGTGATAATTATTTATTGTTTTGCATTCCTTCCTACAAATCCCTACCCTAAATTGGTTACTGTCAGGTGTCTCCCCACAGCTTTGCTGATTGCGTTAGCAGTCTTGGAGCCCGAAAATCTGGATTACTACAGGGATCCGGACACAGTCAGGGCCCTGTTCCCATACTATCCCTTCCAGCATCTCGGAATAGCTTCCTTTCCCCATTTCAGACACCAGCGATGCTCAAGGCAGGGGAGAGGGCAGCTACAACCTTTCCGGGCCTTCCCTCCTCTCTCTTGCTTCTACTTTCACTTTCAGTCCCCACACGTAGAGGCCTCAGCTGCAAAGGACGTGCGCGGGACAGCGGGCCGCGGCCCCCAGAAACTCAGGTACAAGACCATCCAGGCTGTATTGAGATGGAGAGTGGGGGCGGTCAGGGGGAGTGAGGGAGAGCGGGGACCCTCAAGGAGGTTAGGGCTCCTGGCCTCCACCTGCCCCGTGGCTCCTCTCCGTCCTGGGTTGGGGAGGAAAGAGGCCGTGAGTGCCTGGGCCAGGGGTCTGGATATGCCTTCCGCGTGAGCCTGCAGCATCAGTGGTGCAGGGAGGGTCCAGGCCGGCCAGGAGTGGTGGGGACCCGCTGGGCGGGCAGCGCACCTGGGCGCCTCTAGCAGCAGCCCCCGTGCAGGGTAGAGCCGGGGATGGGCGCTCCACAAGTCAGCGCCGGGACTGGGGAACACTGGTTTGCAGGGGCAGAGCCGATGGGTCCAGGGAGAACGGGGGAGCCAGAAGGGCTGCCACATTGTGGTCAGAGCGGGAGCTTGGACCGTTGCTCCACAGGCCTGGACTCAGCCCTCTGTGTGGCAGGCAGGCCCCGCCTGCCCGCTTGGATCCTCCTTCTTCCCTCAGACTGCACAGTGCGCGCTCGGAAAGTCCCCTGGCTGTCCCCACTGAGCCAACCCCTTCCTTGCTAGGGCCACAGCAGTTCTGGTCCAGGTTGCAGATGAAACCCCACGCGGACCAACGTGCAACCTTCTCCCACATGGATTGCACCCTCCTAAAATGCTGCTTCATCATCTAACGTCAGACCCCGGGAGTTGGACGGACTTCAGTCTAGGGCTGGGAAGAGCCAGGGTTTGCTGCTGCCGCGGGGCCTCCTGGGGATTGTAGTCTTCTGGTCCTTATTGAGCAGTGAGGTTAAGGAGGGCTCATTGTTAGTACGAGGACATCGCACTTTCCTCCCTCACCTGTGTCTCTTAAGTCCTTCTAGGTCCTTTGGTGCAGCCTTTTGACTGTGTCCAAGTTTTACAGAACATATTCTTTTATTAAGGGGATTCGTTCTGTGAAGTTTGGATTTAGTCAAAGGGCCACACTTGAGAACCTAGAGAGCCACATGTGGCCTTGAGGCCACAGGTTCCCCACTCTGGTCTAGGCAATCAATAGAATAATAAATCAAGCCCCGATTTGCAGTATTGGTACATTTTCAAGGTGTAAATACTTACACTGAAAAATTAGCCATTGCTTATTGGGAGTCACTTTCAACTGGGTCTAGGATACCCCTGGACAAAACAAATGCCCCCAAAATAACATTGAGACACCTTTCCTTCTGAGGGCCTGGGGAAACACAGAGGCCTGTAAATAAGGGCAGGAAGAGACATTTAATCAGTCTTAAACAAGGTTTTAAAGGATTTAGAGCAGGATAGAACATTAGAGAATGGCCTGTCCAATACTCTGATTTATAAATGAGGAAACTCAAGTCTGGAAGAGAAATGACTTCACCTTGGCAGTGGAGGCTTTGAGCCTTCTTCATGACATGTTCCTTAACATCACAAAATTATTTGGGCTGTGGAGATAAACATTAAGACCGTGAATTTATTGAAAGTTCTCTCCCCAGGGAACTTCACTCAAGAGGTCTATCCTTCTTGCCCCTAGTTCAGACCCACTTCTGCACAAAGATTGTCAGATCTTTGAGAATTGCTCTCCTTCTGCCTATGTTCATAGAAAAGTTTGATGAGGGATTAAAAAGTTTATTCCAGTTAAACACATATTAGGTGGAGAAAAGGCCTCAAACTATTAATAGTTTTTCTTTTTTAATAACACAACAAAAGTTTTTAAAAACATTTCTCTACAAATTTTTAATTTTTATAATGAACTGAACAAACATGAACATTTGGTTATACAGAGAATGGGAAAAAAGGATTGTATGTGAAGTATGAATTTCTGTTACGTAGTTTTAAAAATAGATATTAAATTTTATGATAGTAACACAAATTCCCTGCTTTGCTGTGTCCCCTTCCTTCTGTTTTCTTTTGTGTATTTTTTCTCCCTTTTTAAAATTCTGGTTTTAACAAATGCCAAGTAAAATGGTTACTTCTATGTACGTGATATAACCGGAAAGGATTGTACACGAATTATAAATTTCTATTATTTATGTAGTCAAGCAAAACAAATCTCCATGTTGTCCACATATGAAAATTTATATTTTATTCTGCAATTTGAGTCCATTACCTCCCTGTCTAGAGGTGGGTAGCATGCTCAGTCATCAGAGCTCTGGAATAATAGTTGGCTTCAGTGAAAGTTTTTAATCATTGTTTTAAATCAGTGGTTTTCAGAGTGTGGTCTGGAAACCCCCAAGGGTCCCTGAGACCCCTGCAGGGCAACCATGAGGTCAAAGTTGTTTTCATAATACTAAAAGATGTTTTAATTGCTTATATAGTAAATATTGATAGATATAACTCATTAACAAAACTTCCTTGGAGAATACTCAATAATTTTTAAGAGTGTAAAGGGTCCCTGAGACCAAAAAGTTTGGGAACCACTGTTCAAATAAACAACTCAAAAGTTAAAAAAGATGAACAAAATTGTTTAAAAATCCTCACTAAAAAGTTCCTCACTATCTGGTTCCTTTTTTTGCTCTACCTCCCAGCCCCACCCTGCCCTTGGGGTTCTGAGGGGCCTCTGGGTGGGGAGGAAGAAGCTTTTGACTCCTTGTAAAAAGTCTCCTTCTCTTCTTACTGAGACTTCAAAGGTATCTAGAAACTTTCCTGTTTTTGCAAGCAGCTGTTAGACAGATAGGCAGCTGCATTAGCATTGATAAAGCTGACTGTGAAAGATGTTTTAGGATGATAGCATGTCAACACCAAATACATTAGAAGCTTTCTCTAAAAAAAAATCATCAAATAGAGTTCAATCATCATAATTCAACTAAATTAAAAAAAAAAAAACCAAACATTTTTTAAGTGCTTACTACACCAAGGAACTGGGAATACAAAGATAAAGACCAGGCATCCTGTGCTTTAAAAGAGCTTATATTTTACTAGGGAATACAGCTTTCTATTGATAAATAAAAGGTAATGTGAATACTGAAAGAGCATTAACAATGAGGCACCAGGGAAGGCTTCATAGAAGAAGTGGCAGCTAAGCTGAATCCTTCAGGAAATAAGTAGATATTTCAGGTACAGGATGGCTTGAATGAATACATAGCAATGGGAGATGTAGTGTCTAGTTCAAAAATCAGTGTGGCCTATGGTGTAGATGGCCACATCTTCAGTAGTTTAGACACAGTTGAGGTTGCGGTTGTAGGTTGCACACTACTCAGTTGACAGCCAGCATCTACTCCTCCCATGATTCCTTTGACTGTCTCCTCTCTGTGGAGATGTGCAGTTGTGGGGGTGACATGTCCCAGGCTTTGTGCTCTTCAATGAGGCACATTAACACAAAGTAGTAAAGCTGCCAGGGGTGTATCTGGAGCAGAAGCATCATGGTTTTGTAGAACATTGGAGTTGAAGCTAGAAGACCTGAGTTTAAATCCTGTCTCTACTACTGGTAAACTGTAACACTTAACTTTTCTTGGCCTCAATCTCCTTATTTGTAAAATAAGAAGTTTGAACTAGATGGCCTCTAAAGTACCTTTTTGTATTATATGATACTATAAAACTAAATGGCTTCCAAAATGGACTTTCTAACCACCTTGGGGGGGGGGGGACTGGGGATATTTAGCCTGGAGAATGAAAGACTTGGGGATGCCATGATAATCATCTTTAAGTATTTTGAAGGGCTATTTATGTGAAATATGGATTAGACTTGTTTTGCCTGATTCCAGAGGGCAGAACGAGGAACGATGGATGAAATTTACGGAAAGCAGCTTTAGTCTCCACATAAAGAATTTTATTCCCTAAAATTAGACATAATCCAATGTGGCATGGGAGATTGTGAGTTTACAATCACTTTGGAAAGAAAGGATGAAGAAGAGCCTTGGGTTTGTTCCATTTCTGAGATTCTATGAGGCTGTATAGAAATGAGGGAGTACTGGATGTGAGGAAATACAAAAAAGAAAAGAACCCAAATCTTATATGTTTGAATTAAGTTGGCCTCTTGGACTGAAAGGAATTGCATTTTTTCTAGTGGTAGAGGCCATTTACTGTGAATGAGATGGTCCTTTGAGATATTTCACTGGAGTCTTCAGGACTTGGAGAGGAAATTATTAGCAGCACAATCATAATCCATTAGGAAGTATGAGTCTGACAAGATTTATGAAATAATTTATGTTAAATGAGATGTTCATTCTTAGAAATGATTCAAGCCAAGAAGGTCAAAGTCTTTCTAATTACTCTGGGGAAGGATGGAAGAAAGCTTGAGTAAGATGTCAAGTAATAATGCTGGATCTATTCTGTTATTAATGCCTGAGTATTCAAACAGGTGGTGAAGAGAATGATAGTTTTGAAGTACTAAATTCATACAATAAATATTTATTTAATCTCTACAGAATCAAAGAATCTTAAAGTAGGAAGGGACCTAATAGGCAATCATTTGGCCATTTAAATAATCCCAGGAACTAGGAACTCACTACTTCTTGAGACCTCTCCTTTCATTTTTGGAAAGTTGAACAGAAGCTCAGAATTTTATAGCTGTAACAGATCTTAGAAATCATCTAATACAAACCCCCTAGTTTACAGATGAAGAAACAGAGACCTAGAAAGTTAAAGAAATTTGGTTAAGGTCACTGAATTAGTACTATTATTGAATCCATAGGATTTTTTCTTGGAATTAAAAAGAGAATTGATGAAGTACTATGCATTTAAACTCCCTCATTTTGCAGCCAAATGCCTCTCTCCAAGTGGATAACTTTTGTGGTAAATTAGCATATAAGCTTATAAAGGAAAATGTGGAGAGAGTTCATACACATATCCAAATGAAATTTATTGAAAGATATTCTTTATAGCCTTCTGAGGCCCCAGTGGCAATGGAGACAAGAGATGCTGAAAATTTCCAAGAATGTGCCTTGAGCTCAGTTGGGATGGCAGTTCCAAAGTTGATCTCTCAGCCATCTCTCATTATATAGGAGTAGTCTTATCTCTGACATGTGGCAGTGATCTTTTTTTTTTTCTAACTT